TTTATTCATTTACTTTTTTCCCCTTCTATTTATTTGTTTTTTGCTTGTTTATTAATTGAGGTGGGTTTTTGTTTAAACATTTTTTTCTGCCATGAATGGCCGTTATTGTGTTGTTGTGCTTCTCTTTACACAAACAAACAAGACTGAAGATTTATTACTGTCTTTGTTTAAGTCTTGTAGATGTGAAGACCCTGTTGGCTGGAGCGGGTGGTTGGCATGTGCTCTGGTGTAGTCTGGTCCTTTTCCATGTCAAAGACCAATTGTCCTGATCGCTTCTATATGACCATACTGTTTTGCAAGTGCCGTAAAACCCTTGACTAAAACCAAGACTAGAAACTGTTGGCTGGTCGGTTGGTAGGAGCTGTGGTATGGTGGGTTTCTTGTTCTGAATCTGTTCTTAGTTTTTCTTGCCTCTGTTTGTACCTGGCAAAATTATACCGTTTTGTAGCGATTTATCGGAGACTGAAAACAATTCAACAACTCAGCTATTGAAAACTATTGTTTTGAACATGAAGTAATATTTGGAATGATGGCTGCGACCGAATTTAGACTGCGTTGATAAGCGTTGTGTTCACGTATAGTATAGTATAGTATAGGGTTTTACCGCGCTCGCAACTGCTAAGGTCATATGAGCGCTGTTGTGTTCACTGCTCACCATAATAATATTAAGTACTCATAGTATGAATGTCTAATGGCGGATGGCCGGAGGGCGCCACTGGTAGGTCTTACTTTTTTAAAACTTTCCCTCTGTTGTTTTTTACGGTCTGTCTTACTTTTTCCCAGCACTAAATGGCCATTTTTGCGTCGATATGCCTCTCTTTACTAAAAATGAACTCTATAATGTAGAACAGGCGCGCCGTGGGGCGGTCTCTGTGGCAGATAAAGATTACATATACATGTACTTTATTGATTCCTCATTGGAAGAAATTGACAGTGTGCTCTCGCCAGCTTGTGCGATACAGAATGTACGTGCAAGGCGTTATAAATATCAACGCATCTCTCTCTCAGTTTCTCTCTGTCTGGCTCGACCCTCTCCTTTCTCTCTCTCTCTCTCTCTCTCTCTCTCTCTC